GAATTTTTCTATTCCATCCCATGTCATTAACCTCATGGTGCTGAGCTGCAGGGTGGAAAATGAGCACCTGATGGTGCCTGCTGGACCTGAAGAAATAGTGTGTCTGAGGAAGACAAAAACTTGGGAAGAAACTCCCCCATCCAACAGATACTTTCAAACCCTGTAGGAGAAAGTCTCCTTTAATTTGAAACTTGGCAAGCACCAGCCCTGTCAGCTCTATGTTCCATTGCAAGCCCAACTACTGTGTTGTAGAACCACAAAGCAGAGTACCCCATTTCTTGCAGAATTACCTACTTGCATTAACACACAAGTTAAACAAACGCTGATAATGAGTCCAAGATTTGCCTTAGGCTAAGATGATAGCAAGCAAGGGGTGAAGCAATGGTGATGTTTCTCCCCTACCACTGACAGAAAGTGCAATGCTAGCTCCTCCAGATGTCCTCTTCCTCTCCACCTTATGTATGAAGTGATGAAAGATGAATTCATACTGCTTCTCTCACTTATTTTTTTAATATACTGAATATTTAAATGCTAGGGAATGAAGGAAAAATGCTGCAGTATTTAGAACAGGCACAGAAGATTCCAGGGTCTTGGAGCTGCTCATACAGCATCATATGATGTGTAAAAAGGTCCTTAATGTTAGGAACAAAGAAAGAGGACTGATGATTTTCATTCATAGGCATGAATCCTAACATGTGACCCCAAAGTGATGACAGCCCATGCAGATGTACTTGTTATGACTTCAGAGCTTTGTCTGGTGGGGTTCTGAGCCCCTCTAGCATGGCTTCCCTGTGCTGCCTGTTCCCATGCTTGTTTCACTGTCTGCTGAGTCAAGAGGCTGCAGTTGCACATGCCTTAAATCTTATTGTGATATTTTGGCTCCTTGGGCGAGGCATATGCAAGTCATTAGGATATCAATAAGCAGAAAGGCATCCAGTGGATTGTGTAGGCAAGTCAAGTCAAACTTACGGCAGTGGAAAGTCTGACCCACTTGGAAAACCCTTTAAAGAGAGCAAGTGCTTTATGTGCCCCAGCTCTGTCAGCTTCAGGTACAGATGTGGGTTACTCAGAGAGTGAGCTTGCTCTACAGAGGTTCACCACAGTTGCTGAACTGAATCACTGTTGTTACTGTTGTGCACAGGACCCTAACCCTCCATAGTGTCCTTCCTACCAGTCGCCATCTCCAGTTTTTCATCTTTACTGCTATTCCAAGTACTGCTAATACTGTTAGGTCACATTGGCCCAGATGCATTTCTTGAGATTGGCTGCCGAATGTTGTTCTGTTCCCTCTTTTCTTTCCACATCACTTCACAAATGGTGATTAACTGTGATGTTTTTTCTTTGAAAAAAGAAAGAAGTGGCTGGTGAAGCAGGTGTTGCACCCCAAAGTCAGGCACACAATGTAAACAAATTAATTGACGTCGAGGAAAACATAACATGGAGTAGCAGTCATGAAAAAATAGCCCTCTAAATCACGGCTGGATGGAAATGTAGGTCTCTCAATAGTCAAACCAGCTCTGATGTTTTTCTGGGTTCTCACTTAAAAAGGTAATACAATCCAATCTTAAAATATCTGTATTTGTTCAGGCTCAGAGTGCAACATCCTTTTATATCCATGGTTTCAAAGTACCAAGAAAATTGTTTTTGCTGTTCGGTGATATTTTGCCATTTGCCTGTGGAGTCTGAACTGTGAAATGTAATTAAGCTTGTACTCTGTGATACTTTAAATAGTCACATAAAATGGTGAGGAGGCCTTTATTTTATTTGGGACCTTTCAATCTGTGATATAATTCAACTTGATAAAACAAAGGGGCACCTGGTTCCAGACCTCTCAAATTGGACACCCTAAAACTACTTTATGAAAAGAGCTACTTGCTGACATACTACTTTCTTCAGCTGCTGCCACAGCAGCAAACGAGAAGAGCCCTCTTCTTCTCCGCTCCCCAAAAAACTGAACAGGATTTCCACCAGAGTTCTGCTCTGGAGATAAATTCTCATTGCCTTTCTGCAGCAATCGGCACTATTAGGTGTTGGCCGCTATAAATGCAGAATAAGCTGATTGAGGCAGATCCTGCCTGTTCAGACTCTTCCCTAGGGGGTACCAGCCGTGGTTCAGGATGTCTGAATATGATGTGTTGTCATTTCTGAACTGCTGCAGGTTGCAATCCAGTGTACTAAAAGACCCTGCAATTAGTAATGGTTTAATAAAGTTGATAATAAAAGGCTGTTATTCAAGAGATAATCTTTGAGACATCTTTGCTTGTTTAGAAGAGGGACAGGAGAGCAGCACACAGTCTCCTTAAATTCAGGCATCCCAATTTATACTGCCTCCATACTGCTAACTTGGTCTCTCAACACTGCTGCTAAAAAGCCACGTAAATTCAACCATCCTAGATACAGGACAAAGCACTCATAGTTTTGCTTCCTTGTTTTGTTTTTTAGGACACAATGTCCAACACCCATAATTTTTACCTTCTGTTTGTCATACTAAAATATTCCCGAGCACTGATCTTTTTCTCTGCAGGATGCCTAGTCTGTTGTGAGGATTATGTAGCTTGGGAAGAGAAAATCAGCTCATACATTTGATGGCCTCCCTCTAGTGGCTGATATTGGGGAATAAAAATAGGGCTGTGATGAAGTGAACCCTAAGGTTTACTACATGCATTAACCATTATGTTAAGAAGAAAATAAGTAAACTTGGGAAGAAAGCTCCTGCCATATCAAAATATGACATAGAGTTACTGAGTTGTTGCCAAAGATCAGTTACTGGTCTTTCAGTCCTGAAAATATTTAACTTGCTACATCCTTACCCACTTTCCCTCTCTCCGTGTCCTTTCATGTGGTCATCTAAGACCACTGATGGGCCAAAATCTGCATGAAGAGAGGTTTTTAAATTTCCTATTAGTTGGCCAAGAACGACAAATATGCAAGCCCTTGATTTTCCAGACATGAAGAAGGGCTCCTATGCTTGAAGGTCTATCTAATTTTCCTAACCACACTCACTGATCTAGTAAAAGATGCTGTTTTGTCTTACAAACTTTGTCTCAACAGATATTTAAAGAACAAGTAAGATCTGGAAAGTGTAGCATCTTTCTTTCCATTCCAGTGCTTTCCCGTTGGTTCTCTGCAGTAAATTATCAGTATCTTTGACAAAATGGTATCTGTATGTACAGCCACCGGTTGTGTTCCTGCTTTTGAGATCTTGCTGACTGTAGCTCATTACCTTTTTGCTTACCAATGTGCACACTCATCTTTTAGACACAAGAATGCCAGGCATGAGTGACTCAGTATATAATTTTATAGAAAAAATAGCAAAGACAGCAGAGCAAGATAAAAGCTGGAACCGGAAAACAGCTCATTAAAAATGGCAGAAATGCAAAGGTCCTCCAGCTACAAGAGAAGCTTTGTCCTGGTGTCTCTTTTTTGGATCTCTTGCACTTTGGCCTCTGAGTGTTAAGTGGAAGGTGAGATTTGCAGGCAGTGTGAGATAAGCCAACTCAAGATGCATCTGCAGAACATCCTACATAAACCTGTCTCATGAGTTTATGTTTCTGGCACAGCAGAAATTAAGACGGTTACTACTGTTCTCTTGACTGCTTTTATTGATGTTGTAGTCTGGGGTTTTGCGAGCTAAAAATACCAGTGGGGTTCCACCTGAACCTCACTCTGGGACAAGGTTCTCTGCCGATGCCTCAGCTCCAGGCACTCCACAGTCAGGGGGTATGTTTTAAGCTCAAACTTATTTGCAAACATACAGGTGGAGTTAAAAAGCCACTTGAGGTCACCTGTTCCATATACACAGATGCCTCTGACGTAATGGCCTGCCAAAAGAAAAAAAGCAGTGTCAGAATCAAGGATCCAAATCATTCTTTTTGATAAGTTTTATCTGCAAAGCCACTAAAAATAATCACCTACACAACAAACATGCTAAAAGGCCTACTGGACATGCAATAGGAATAAGTATGAATAATGGGATGAAATGAAGAAAGTTACTTCAGAATAGATAATGAGCAAAATATGGAGATAGCTCAGAAAAGAAGTGTTACTACTTGAAACTCTTTCTCAGACAAAGGAGAATTTATCATCAGAGGGGAATTTCCTTCTATCAGTGAGAAGAAACTGAAACTTTTACTCATATTAGATTTTACACTAACTAATTCTGGGTGATAGTGTAATTTCACTGATTGCAATGTAGCTGTTGCAATGCCAATGTGAAACTGTTTTAACTGAAGCTGACTGAAAGTCTCAAAATTTTTCTCCTCAATTCAAATGCTTATGTTATGAATTAAGAATTCTTTAAATAAAAATTATATTATTAACATTTTGGCATTCCCTTTCTCATCTCATTTGGATATGTCACAAGTAGCAGCAGCATGCAATATAAAAAGCAATGACTGAAAAAATCAAGTGTGCCGTAGAAAGTTTTCTACTGCTAATGTCACATCATGAAGTGACATGACATAGGAAAACTCAAAGTGCAACCATCACCATCAGCTCGTAGCTTCTTAGGTTCCTCATCAGCTGTAGGTCTGGCAGACATCAGTGCCCAGCAGAGAGCTGAGATTTGTCTGAGCTCATGTAGGACACCTGCCCTGCACACTGCTGCTGGCTCTAGAGCATCTGCATCCCAGCATGGGAAGTACATGTGGGCTATTCCCTCTCACCTGGGAGAAAATTCCCTCAAAGCCTTCAAGAAAATCATCAGCTAACTCCTGTGAGCCCTAAGCACTGACAAATGCCCCCTTTCCAAGGTTGATATATTCTATGACATTCCTGATGAATAAGCAACTGATCCAGCTTTATCACTGTTTATGTGGCTACTATCATTCAGATATGGACTATGAAGGAGATGACCCCTTTTTAATGTCTTCTTTCCAATGCGGTGCTATCTACAGACTGTCTCACATTATGCTTAGAAGCTGTAGGAGTACAGGAACAGGTTGAGTGTTTTTCACTATATGAACGGGAAGAAGAAATAGAGAAAAATGTGCACATTACCATGACAGCCTCCATGGCTCTCTTCCATATCAATCCACTTCACTGCTTTCAGGTCGCCTTCCCATGATGCATTGGGCATGGACCCTGGGACACCTGCAATTAGATAGCAGCAAATCAAATATTTAGTTATTCTAACAGCTATGTGTTCAGGTTTATGTCCACTCTCTGGGAGCTTTCTCCACAGAACTGGTATGAAATTCGTAGGGATATGCATCAAAAGAAGGCTGGCTGCTAACCTTGTTGTCAAGTTTCTTCCTTGAAAGTAGCTTTCATGATATAAACAAGATGTCAGCCCAAGAGATCTAAACATTTCACTTGAGAAATAAAATCCCTCTTTTGTGACAGCCTCAGCATGATACTGTATGCAGTACCATCACTCATGTCACCTTCCCAACCAGCACTGCCCTCCAAGGGCACTGGGCCACCAACACCTAGTACCTTCACATGAATTTAGTGGTTTGTTGTTTTTTTTTAAGAAAAAAGCTAACAGAACAAATTGAATTCATTCATAACTGGATGGAGTTGCTGAAACCAAATTATAACCCATAATGTTATATAATAATATGTATTAGTCTAGGCAGATCACAGGACCTAGCTAGAAGATAAACTGGTAAGAGGACCTCTCCTTGTCAGTAAATTATCAAGTCCTGCTAAAACCTGGCAAACATTCATTTTGAGTAATTGAGGGAGAAATGCTGAGCACACAGTATTTGCTGAAGAGTAAACAGGCAACCTGTATGCGATGTGTAGGCAGCTGCTGTGAGTCAAGGGAATTTTTGGTATCTTCAGTGCAAGGAAGTAACTATAGCAGATCATGGCCATGGGATGAAGTCTTTGCCTTTGAAAGCAAAAGCTGATCAGGTAGGTACAGCTAGGAAAACCTCTGTGCCTGATCTGTACTGCAGTATCATATTCAATTCAGTGAAAGAAGTTCACTGAAGTACTTCCTAAAACTGTATTCAGAATACGGGGGGGGGGGGGGAAACCCCAAACCAAATCAAACCAACCAAACAAACCTAAAGGTATAAAATAATAGAAGTTTCCTATGAACTCATCCCTTTCAGTAAATTTTATCTTTTGTATCTGCTCAATTGGTTGTTGAAGAACAAAAAATAATACAGACTGTATAACTGCCACCCGATGTGCAAACGACTTTGTTCAGAAAAGCTGGAAATGCCTCAATTTCTCACAGTAGCACAAACACTTGTATAGAACTTATTTGCCTGCTTGGAAAAAACTAACCATCTTTTATTCTTTCCTGCACAGCAAGCAACAACTGATGCTCTACCGGAGCTATCAAAAAGAAGAACAGGCAACGTGTGGGGAGTCAACATGCACACCAGCAGATAGAAAAACATAGATGTTATTTCTGCTTTCTCCTAATGAAGCTGAAAACTAAGGAAAAGACTGAGATTGAGGAGAAGTGCATTGAAGGACAAACGAGACGCTAAAGGCAATGTATAATGTTGGGGGGTTGGATTTGGGGAGGGTTTTTTTTTTGAGAAATTGGATGGGATAAATGTTAAATGTCAAGGTTTTTTCTGTTTGCTTGCTTTGTTCTGTGTTTTTAAGGATAGCTTGTTCCTGGTAAGTATGGATGGTTGTTTGCAAATACCGAGTCATGACTTTTATATCAGACGTAAAAAGACTGTATGATCCATCAGCAGAACCAACATAGCACTTTGCCATAAACAGAGATATGTGGCAGCTATAACCAAAATTTCATTACTTTATTTCTCCTCCTCTGTATATTGAGCCATTATCAAATAAAATAACATGCCAGAAAGTGTGGTTTTGTCTTGGGGAAAATGCAGAAAAAGTTACTCTTCCACATAAAGCATTAAGCTGAAGATAACACTTTATAAAAGACAAAAAGAGACAGTGATTACAGGGGATAAACACTTTAAATGGCATAGAATGTGCATTACCATCCCAAATTAAAAACCTGTTCATAACAGATGACTGTAAATGAGGTGTGTGGAAAGATTTGGAAAATGCTGACAGAGTGGGAAAGCAGAAATGAATGACAAAACAGGAACAGCTTCAGAACATCCACAAAAATACTGGAAGGCACTACCTTCCAGGAATACAAAACTACTGACTTCACATTATTCACCATCCCCAAAATTGAGTAAACTAGGCATTTCTGTAAGTTAATTAAAGAGTGGGAAAGTGTAGCTCTGAGAAAAAAAATGTGGATTTAACATGTTTTCCTTTAAATATCTGTTTGAGTGACTGGTTTCAGACTCAGAAGCTTTTCTGGGGACCTGTTCTTATAAAGTTTGTCTGAAAAATGCTGCTGATAGTGAAAGTTCATACAAACTTTGACATGAGTTGCTCACTCTACTTCTGTCCAGCTCTCATCTCCCACGCCATTGAGGTTAGCAGAATTTTGTCCCCTGAGCACTACCCTGGAAATGAGTTTGCCACCACCAGGTCTTGGGAACAGCCACCACCAGAATGGCACCACTTGAGTGTGAAGACAGTCACAAGTGATTGGAAAGACAGACCAACCCCTCCAATGCCTTAAATGTCATGTCTTCCTTTGGTGGCAGAGTTTTAGAGGCAGGTAAAACACTGCTTCAGAGGCTGAACCTCATCCACAAGACAAAGGCAACACAACCTCCTTCTCTGCTAAGCCCTTCCTATTTTTTTGGCATTGCAATTCCAGTGAGAATTGATCTGCATGCGTTGGCTCCAAGAGGTAGCCCACTCCCTTTCCTCCTTGCATCACTACCATGTATTATGCAGACAACATCTGCAGCTTGCACAAAATAAGCCACCATGTCAGCCTTTCTGTAATGTGCACATAAACTGACACTGGGCTAGAAATCTTGCAGGATAAAAGGCTGCCTGATTTGCCTTGACTTTCCAAGTCCCAGCCAACACATTGATTAAAACCTAGGTGCCAACAGAGTTGTCTTCATCAGTCTCCTAAGCAGAATGTGCTTCCTCATCAGCATCTCTTTCTAGGGAAGGAGACAAATTCTTTACATTTCTATGCCACTACCTGATCCAAGCTCTTCTCCAGCATTTTATAAGCTGGTGCACTAGAGTTTGTGCTTCAGAAATCTGCCTGAAATGGCATACATATAATCTTTGGGAATATTTTTCTGCAAGACCTGGTTGAAGTCAACCATAACTTTCACTGGACTTTGGGGCTATGTATTTATGTTTAGGAAACACACAGGGCTTGGAATGGGTCATGTGTAGGTGGGCAAGAGCATACCCTCTCCCCTACAAGTGAAGGCATGCAGCCCAGGAGTGTATGAGAGGAATCTGGAAATTCACAAACTCCTTTGGTGGCTTTTGGAGAAGCAAGATGGTACAAGGAAGTACACATGAGATTAGTGAGCCAGTATGGCCGAAGAGGGTGAAAGCCAAGTGGATGCCAAGCTGCATCCCTGAGTCTTCTTGAGGCAGAGCAGCTAAGCAGGAAGCATGTGGTGGCCCTGAGCCCATGACACTGCAAAGCCCACCATCCCTGGGGACCTCCCTTACCCAGTCATGGGTGTTGTTCCCACTAGAAGACAGCTCAGAGGCCAGAGCATCAGACTCAAGGAGGATCTGAATGACTTCCTTCCTTCCATCAGTGGCACCAACATGGGCTGTCACCTGCCTGGATGTTATGAAACAATGAAAGTAGCAACAATGCCCTGGTGGGCACCACCAAGAGCCACAGCTGGAGAGGTGAGCAGTGGTGGTCACCAACCAGAAAGAGCTGGCACCAGGCAATGGGCAAGTTGACTCTGCCATAGAGCAACTGCTCCACCTTGGAGGCAAGGAAGGTTTTGGAGATGCAGCCCACCAGGTGCCACACTGCCTGATGGAAGGGAACTGGAGCCTTGGCATCTACATGGATGCAGTGGACATGTTGGGGCACGTACACCACCCTGAAGAGTCACCCAAAGGTCTCAAACTCCTTCTACAGGGTCACGACATAGGTGACAGGGAAGGCTGTCTTCTCTGCCGAGAGGGCACAGGTGATGTAGTGACTGCAGGACATATAAGCACTGCAAGAGGCTGCTTCTGGTGCTGAATACCTGGTGCCCAGCTAGCAGTGTGCCACACGCTCGCTCCAGAGCCGTTGCCTCTGAGGAGCCCCCGCTGCCCACCACTTGTCACCCGCTCTGCTGCAGCCACACAGCAGTGCCCAGCAACACCATGGTGGCCACTAGCAGCCACACAGTCCGCCGCCATCTCATGGCCCACACCATCAGCCTTGGCCTATCCCTGGCCTGGCTGGCACCACACTGGTGGTCTCAGGCTGAAAAGACACAAATGTGAGGCTGACCCATGAAACGCACACCTCCCGCCCTTGGGAAGCGAAGGGCAGTCACCACCACCCACAGCTGGCCCAGAGCCTCAGGGTGCTCCCTGCATCTGCCGCCTTCAGGGCAAGTTTCCAGATAGAGCCCCGAGGCTAGTGCTGGTGGTGCTGGGGACAAGGGAGGACAAGAGGAGGACAAGATAGTGCCCCGCAGGACAGCTGTGCCTTCTCATGCTGGCCACCACACTAGCAACACTCCTAGCTGCATGAGAAGTCCCACTCATAGACACAGGGCTTCACTCTCAGGTTCATCCAATCTATTTTAGTAACTTCTCAGTTCTTCAACATTAAATTGGGTTTGATTTGGGTTTTTTTTTCAACTTCTGTCATTTTACAGAACTGCAGTAGGAAGAAAAAAGTTAACTTGTCAGTATTAGGTGGATGAAGAAAAGCTGATGAGCAAATGCCGGTAGGATGGAAATGGTCATCTCTTAATCCTGTACAGCAACAAGAATTTATTTGACCAGGATCATAAGACAGCATGCAAGAATGATTTTCTCTGAAATCCTAGTTTGTCTGTTTTCTTGTTTGTCCTGTGAGACAAGTTCTCCCACCTGTCCATGGGAGAGAGTGGTGGCTGCTAAATATATGGGGAAGTCCTCAGAAGAAGAGATTTTCTTTCAAGACAGGAGAATGAAGCAAAGGAGTCCAAGTCCAGTTGTTAGCTGTGGCTTTTCAAAAGATCTTCTTGAAGACATACGCTTACTTGTCCCGTTATCACGAAGTAGTGTTCTAGTGAGCAGCACACAATTTGTTGTGAAGC